TAGGTTGAGTGGGCTGAGAGACTTCAAAGAAGTGTGACTGGCAAGTCACTCAGCTGCTGTGGAGGAACGCGAACCTGGTTCCCCAGATTACGGACTATGCGTGGCCTGCAACCCTACACTACACTGGCGGAGCTGCCATCTGAATTTCATAGAGAGGGGCATACATCACAACCGACTTGCGTGGTCTAATAAAACTTCAGTGGCAGACAGGAGAAGAATTCCTTCCAATGATATCCTCAATAGGAGTGTCTGAATTCTGAATTCCAACCTGATTTGTACTACCATGTTCACTTTCAAGTCTTATAGATACAGGAGCTATATTACCATGCAGAGCGGACAGGGAAAACAACCACACAAAGGGATTTGATTTGATGGTGTCTCTTATCTAAGGAAGAAGGTTGGCAGTACTGGCTCCTCCTGGGTCTTGCAGAGCAGGATAAAACAGATATGACGGCCTGTGTTGCATAAAGAAAGGAGATAACGCCAAAGAAAAAATTCTCCTTTGGTCTAAGTCCCTCATGACCTGCAATCTACATCATCACAGCCCTTTGCTAATGTACCTTTGGCAGTTACTCACAAAAACACACACGTATAATAACAGAATAAAACATGTCTTTGAGGTTCCATTGGAAATACCATGTGTCAATTGTGTCCGTTTCCTAAGGAAGCAATTGAAGCTTTGCTTTTGTTGTTGTTGTTGTTGTTGTTGTTGTTGTTTAATATCTCTTATATACTGGTCCCTAAGACAATAAAAGGCAGGGGATAAACACAAGAACCCTGCTGGCAACATTCATTCAAACAGCCTGAAGGGTATAAAAAATGTCAGGGGGACTAAAACCATGTCGTTTTGTAGGGCTGTTTATTGATCAGTTAATCAACACAAGCTTAAGTTGATTAACTGGTAGGAATCATATAGCCATGAGTGCAATTTTTAATTAGTAGGCCTGGGGACTTCACAGAACTTTTTAAGGCTATAACGTAAGCGACTGTTAGGAAAGGGAGGGAAAGGATGGTTTTTCTGTCTGACAATGAGTGATAGCTTTTGTTTATTAACTTGTAAGTTATATCGCTCATTCTTTAATATCTTAAAAAGGAAACTAACTGAGGTCTGAATAATATGTCAGCATCTTTAAGTTTAATTGATTCATAATTCAAGTAAAATATAACTGATAAAATAATAAAATTTAAAAGCAAATTATTTATCAGTGAAGCATTTTAATTGGCTGGCAAACAAACACTGTTGGGAAAACAAACAGGAATAAAAACAGCCTTATGGAATTTATGGACACATCTACAGCAGCTTCTATAAAGCAACAACTAACTCACCAGCACAAAATCTCTATTGCATGGGCTTTGGCTGTAGATACAGCAGAGGCTGTTTTAGGGTTGGGCAACCAGTGTGTTTCACTGGGTGCCATGCTACAGAGGATGCCAAAACAATGCAGTAGAACGGAGCATGTCTGTGTGTGTGTGCACGCGCACCAAATTTTAGCTTTGAGCAGGGTGCCACTGAAATTTGAGAGCTCAAAGTCTGCCACTGGATACTGGTATCTTCCTACCTCTGAGTGGCATGGGAGAATTTGGTACAGTGGTACCTCGGGCTAAGAACTTAATTCGTTCCGGAGGTCCGTTCTTAACCTGAAACTGTTCTTAACCTGAGGTACCACTTTAGCTAATGAGGCCTCCCACTGCCACTGCGCCGCTGGCGCACGATTTCTGTTCTCATCCTGAAGCAAAGTTCTTAACCCGAGGTATTATTTCTGGGTTAGCAGAATCTGTAACCTGAAGCATCTGGAACCTGAGGTACCACTGTAGTCTCTTTCATAGTCTATAATTGTGCATCCAAAGTCCAAAAGCCTTCCCTTCATCATATTGCTTGTTCTTTACTGATTTCCCAGAGGTTCAAGGGCAGTGATTATGGAGATCGAAGGTAGTGTGGGAGTTAGAGGGGGTTCTCTTTTTGGTTTTGGACTTGATGGAAGAAAAGAACCTTTGTGAAATATCCAAGTCCCTATATTTGTATGAAAGAAGTTGGAAAAGCCAGTGGTTTGTTATTATGCATTATCTCAGTTGTGTGCAATTTATTCACATTAAATTATCTTCATGGACATGGCATATGTCAAACAGTAGATAGTTGCAGCAGATGCTATCTTATTCTAAAATGTGTATTTTATGATGCAGGGAATTTGAAAAACCTTGACAGATGTGCTTAGAATGAATGATGGTTCAGACACATCTTGTAGCTGGACGTTTTGATTAGCCTCATTATTTCTGACATTTTACCATTTTTGTCCATACGTTGAAATTGATGTGAAACTCCTGAGTAGGGCGGAATATAAGTCCTAATAAATGCATATAATCTCTGGTAGTTCTTTTGAGATTGAATCTTAACGTGGTATCTTCAACATTAGTTGTTTCAATTCCACTGAAGCCGTTTCCATTCAGCCAGTGTGCACACTTGCAGTCCTGTTCTTTTTCAAAACACAGGCTGGGAGCCACAGGAATCATCAGAGAACCTCTGGGATCAGTAAAGTGCTCTGGAGAAGACCAATCGCTATCTCAAGGCAGAGATGGATTGCAATGAAAGTATCAAAGTCCATTTGTAAATTAATTTAAAAAACACAATAAAACAATTCATCTTTAATTACAGTGATATCAAAATGCAATTGCAACCCAGTCAGATGGGTGGGGTACTATTACTACTACTACTACTACTACTACTACTACTACTACTACTACCACTACAACTATATAAATTATACCACCTGAACAGACTTTCTTATATTGCTTTTGAGAAAAGAATGCCAGTAACTTGGGCAGGGTTTTTTTGTTGTTGTTGTTAAATCATGAGCCACCAATGAGAAAGCTTTAGATATGGTCATTGCCCGACACACCTTGATTGGTGGAGGCACCTGCCCAGACCATGGTCTTCCCCTTCTTTAATAAGTTTATTGCACAGTAACAGAGATTGATCTGCTGAACTTATTCCTCCTGCATTTTAGATAGATGGAGCCCTCCATGTGATTTAATTTGGCGCAACAGCTCAGCGGTAGATCACCTGCTTTGCAAGCTGAAGGTCATATGTTCAATTTCTGCATCTGCAGGTAGGGATGGGAATGCCTCCTGTCTGAAACAAATTCACAGAGCACAAGGCTATCAGTGGCTACTAACCATGATGGCTGTGTTTGACCTCCACTGTCAGAGGCAGTATACTTCTGAATTCCAGTTGCTGGGGGAAAGTGCTGCTTGTGGGCTTTCTGTAGGCATCTGGGTGGCCATTGTGGGAAGAGGATGGTGGGCTGGATGGACCTTTGGTCTGATCCAGCAGGACTCATATGTTCTAAACCTGGAGAACTACTGATGGTCAGTATGGACAATGCTGAGCGAGATAGTCCAACCAGATAGTCAGTATGAGATAGCTTCCATTACTCCTATGTCCCTAACCATTAGGAAGTGTTTTTAAACAGCAAACATTGATTTCTCATTGCCAGTCTTTGCAGGAGCAAAGTGTGAAACATCCACTATCAATGAACAGTGAACTTTGGATGGTGCTTCTGGGTGGCAGCCAATGTTCAAGCAAGTTATCAGACTTATATGCATATCCCTGTATAAATAGCAAAGCTTTGACAGTGACGTGCAATTAGACAAAGAGGGAAATTGTCCAACAATAACAAGACTATCCTCCGACTCCCATTCACCCTGCTCCCTTGTGGTGGTTATAGATTTAGATTGTGAAATAAAACTTTAATTCTTATAAAGCTCTGAAACAGACACAGGAGGGGCAAATATTTATTCTGCTACTGACCTTCTCCAGCAAATAGTGCATTAGGCTGTTATGGGGCTTGCGGTTTCACACTTCAGGGAAATGAGAGATCATTTTAAAAAGAAGGTGAGAAAGGGTTGAAGGGGGGAAACAGATTGCTCCAGAGGACTATAATGAATTCTGCAAAGGACTGCACTCTGAAAATCCATTATCACAGTGAATATGGCTAAATAAAATCCTTGGGTTTTTAGAGTAACATCTGTCCAAACAAAGGCAACCTTTCCCTTACTGTGATGTCAACATTCCTGTCAAGTCTACTGAGTTGGGGAAATGATGAATGCCTGCTTTGAGCTGTATATGCATAGCTGCATGCCTATTCAGGACTGTTCATGCAGCAGCAAATTCCTGGCCAGCTTTGACAGGGCTTTCCATCTTAGGGTAGTACGAGGGCTCTGGATTCATGTCTTCCTCTTGCTCAAGAACACCCAAAGCCAACCATCAGCTGCAGAAGTACATGGATGCAGATCTTTATGCTCATAATTGCATGACAACATATAGGTTTTGTGGGCTGAAGGTCTCAGGTTCAATTCCTGGCGTTGCCAGTTGTGGAACCTGTGGCCCTCCAGATGTTGTTGGACAAAAGTCCCATCATCCCTGACCATGCTGGGTGGGAATTTGAATTCACCAGCATGTGGAGGGCCACAGATTCCTCACCCCTGAATTAAATAATCATTTCTCTGCTTGAGAACTTGAAGAGTTGCTACCAGAGTAGACAAAGCTTTTATTTCTTTATTACATTTACATATACCCCACCAAGAAGCTCAAGACAGCACTCATCATTCCCTGAATTTTATCATCACACAACCCTGTGAAGTAGATTAGGCTCAGAGGTAGTAATAGTCCCAATATCCTCCAGTCAGCTTCATGGCTGGGTAGAGATTTGAACCCTTGTCCATGCCTGGCACTCGAACCACAACACCATGTTGATTCCAGTGGCTTGGCTTAATATAAGACCACTTTATATGTTCAGTGTTCTACAGCCTCATCAAATAACCATTCCCTCTGTTAACTCTACCGGCACATTCACTTCTCCCAATAATATCAGAGAGTCAACAGAACATGTGGTTTCTGTGTTTATAATGCTGAGGCCCCTTGACAGAGTTTCTTTTAGGTCAAAATCTTCATTCTTTAACCAAACAGCCCTTTGACCCTTTTATCATCACTCTATTAGCAGCTGCTGGTGCAATGGGATCTTGAAGCATCTCTAAGACAGTGTGCATCAGAGAGATGATTGTTGCATGACAGGAGGTGGCAAGAAAGGTAAGTGGAAAGGAAACAACAATCTAAGTACTGAGATGCTTGTGTACACGATGGCTGAAATGTGCCCATACTTTGTTTACACGCTTGAGTATCACCTTCACATCTGAATATTTGTCCTTTTAATAGCATATGATCGGGGTATGTACATGGAGAGGTTAATGTGCATAATAACTGGCCATTGTGCACATTCACCACACTTCTCTAGGGCTGGTTATAGGGAACACATTTGTTTGAACAGTTCATTGTTTGAACAGTTCCACCGGCTACCAGTCTATTTCCCGGCACAAAGTTGCTGGTTCAAAGTGCTGGTTATCACCTCTAAATCCCGACACAGCTCAGGTCCAAGCTAACTGAAAGGCCATATTCCTGCACAGGAACCTACCTGGGTTTTGAGATCTTTGGGGGAATCACAGGCGTGCTTGGGAGGGATGCAGGAGAGGGTCTTCTCAATGGCTGCTCCCAGACTTAGGAACTCTCTCTCTAGAGAAGCTAGACTGGCTCCCTCCTTGCTGTCCTTCCATCAGCAGGTGAACACTTTCTTGTTCCAACATGTTTTGGAAGGAATTAACTGCCTTTAGGGACGCGGGTGGCGCTGTGGGTTAAACCACAGAGCCTAGGACTTGCCGATCAGAAGGTCGGCGGTTTGAATCCCCATGATGGGGTGAGCTCCTGTTGCTCGGTCCCTGCTCCTGCCAACCTAGCAGTTCGAAAGCACCTCAAAGTGCAAGTAGATAAATAGGTACCACCCCAGTGGGAAGGTAAATGGCGTTTCTGTGTGCTGTTCTGGTTCGCCAGAAGAGGCTTGTTTTGCAGGCTACATGTGCAACTTTAGTACCAGGTGAAATGGTTGAAGGCAATGGCCAGAAAGACAAGGGTAGGGAGGTGGGCAACCTCTTCCAGTCAATACATAGTAAGCCAAAAGGACTGGGAGTAATTTAGATGCTTCCAGACTCTTTTTTCTTAGGTTTCATCCTTGTCCAGTACTGCCTATGAGTAAGACACCATGGAGAAGCAAGAGCTTCAGGGTTTGTGTGAGAACCCAGCCCTATATAGTCAACCATTACAACACTTTCATTATGATGGACATAATACAGAACTATGTCTCGGTGGCATAAACAACCAAGGTAAAATCTGTCCAGAAATTGTAAAATCTGTATAGAAACAGAAGTAATAAGCAGCCCACTGCCATATATCAGATGAATAATATGAGGTCCAAAACTATATACCAGTAGAATAACATTTGTATTATGAAATGTGTTTTCATGTCTTTACTTTAGCCTTTGGCTGACTGAACAATCTATGGCCTTTTAAACAGGGGGTGCTTTTATTAATATGTTGTATATTTTTGTGGTTTTATATTGTAAACTGCCCTGTGATCCTTGGACAAAGGCATGGTATAGAAATTTAATAAATAATAATACTTCTTCAGAAATGACTAGATTGAATGGCAGCCAAGCATGACTCTCTCCAATATATCACCGTGGCCTTTCAAAAAAATAAATAAATAAATAAATGCAAAAATCCCCCCCAAGGGGATAATTATCCAACCAATATGCCAAATGCTTGTTCGTTCATAAAAATATGTATAGACCACCCTCTCATAAAATATCATGGCAGTGTACAACTATATAAAAACATAGCCATTAAAAGCAGTACAGATTTCTGGACTGCAAGTCCCATCAACCCTAGCCAGCATAACTAATAGTGAGGGATGATGGGGGTTGTAGTCCAACAAGGAGTACAATGCCTGTTGTCTTTGTCCATGGAGTTTTCTTGGCAGGGATACTGGAGTGGCTTGCCGGTTCCTGCTCCAGGTAGATCATGTTTGTTCAAAACTCTCCACTATGACCTGTCCATCTTGGGTGGCCCTGCACGGCGTAGCTCATAGCTTCTCTGAGTTATTCAAGCCCCTTCGCCACGGCAAGGCAGTGATCCATGAAGGGGCAGTGATCCATGAAGGGGTTTCATCCTTGTCCAGTACTGCCTTGACAGCACCTTAAACCTAGACAGCATCTTAAAAAGCAGAGACATCACTTTGCCAACAAAGGTCCATATAGTTCAAGCTATGGTTTTTCCAGTAGTGATGTATGGAAGTGAGAGCTGGACCATAAAGAAGGCTGATTGTTGAAGAATTGATGCTTTTGAATTATGGTGCTGGAGAAGACTCTTGAGAGTCCCATGGACTGCAAGAAGATCAAACCTATCCATTCTTAAGGAAATTAGCCCTGAGTGCTCACTGGAAGGACAGATCCTGAAGCTGAGGCTCAGGAAGGACAGATCCTGAAGCTGAGGCTCCACCTCATGAGAAGCTGAGGCCACCTCATGAGAAGAGAAGACTCCCTGGAAAAGACCCTGATGTTGGGAAAGATTGAGGGCACAAGGAGAAGGGGACGACAGAGGACGAGATGGTTGGACAGTGTTCTTGAAGCTACCAGCATGAGTTTGACCAAACTGCAGGAGGCAGTGGAAGACAGGAGTGCCTGGCGTGCTCTGGCCCATGGGGTCACGAAGAGTCGGACACAACTAAACGACTAAGCAACAACAACAACAAAGGAGTACAATGTTGGCTAGCCCTATGTTACATTTTTATTTTATTTTTTGCTATAGTGAACTGTTTGCAGCTTGGAGCCAGAACTTGTGCATTCATGTGCATTCTGGCACCCATGCACACTCCCAGCTAGTCGCCTTAACAAGAATCGGAGGGTGAAGGTGTGGAGCAATGAAAAGGCTACCATTTTTTGTGCCTGCATGAGACTCTGAAGGCATCCACATGAGTTGCTCTATGAACATCTATTCTACTGGCCTCTCTGAGACTGCCTGGTGTCAGTCAACATCACAGTTGCTGCACTGGGCAGAGATGATCGTCTCTATAATGATGCCATTCATGGCTAATTGTCCAGGATTGAAAATGAACTGTAGCTGCTGCGGCTTCAACCTCTGCCGCATAGCAACGAGGGCAGAAAGTCAATTAATTACCTTCTTTCTGGAATCCAGGGGCCCTTTCATCCTCCGCTCAGTCGAGTGTGTAATGGAAAAAGGGAGAGAAACAGACTGCACTTGGCCAATTGGGAATTGAATGACAAAGTGAAAGATGAGCATTGGGGAGAAAGAGGTGGGAGGAGCTAGGTGGGGAACCTGGTTCTATGACATGGGGGGAGGAATTGCTCCTGATAATATGATTCAAACTATTCTAGTGCCTGTTTGTAGCCATTCTCACTGTTTTCTAGTGTTTGCTTTGAAATCCCAGATGATCCATCCTTGCAGGTTTTCCACCATAGTGGAGATATTATCATGGTAGTCTTTACCCTGACCTTGAAGACCTTATGACTTGAAGCTGCTTGAACTTCTTGCTTACATCACCAGCTTGTTATACTTCTTCTATGACTCTTAGTGAGCCCAATCTTTTGAAGAGTTGCTGTCACTTATCATCCAACACTTCTCTTTCATCTTTAGGCCAATTTCTTTCCATGCCCATATTGTTCCTTTTTCCATTTTATGAGACTTCCATGATGCAAAATCATGCACATAAATCATCTCATTGACTTTTGACTGGTCCCTGAGAGGCAAACAGAGGGAAATAATGTATGTGTTTGGGATGCAATGTCCACTGCCTTGCAGGATATCTTTGGGAGAAGAAATAGCTAAGGAGTAAACCCAGAGTAGAGTCCCTAAGACGGTTGGATGGTGCCTTGTAAGCCTCCTTCCTGCAACTCCTGCAGCCAAGCTGGTGCCAAACATGTTGCTCTGCTTTCCTTTGGATCACATCAGCCAGGCCAAGAGAGGGGTTGTGTTGTCTGGGCATCTCAGGGCCTGCATGCATCCAGCCAGTCTATGGCATTTATCTGTGAAGCCCTGTAGAACAATAGGTAGATAAATCCTGTGGAGAGATGTTCATGAAATGTAGAAATGTGCAGAAAAACAAAGTATTGAGAGTATCCTTCTTACATGTGACCGGGACAAACCTTGCAAAAATATCCACCCGCCATACATCCATTTCTACATTTCATGAATACAGTGGTACCTTGGGTTAACTACTTAATAGGTTCCGGAGGTCCGTTCTTAACTTGAAACTGTTCTTAACCTGAAGCACCAATTTAGCTAATGGAGCCTCCCGCTGCTGCCGTACCACCGGAGCACGATTTCTGTTCTCATCCTGAAGCAAAGTTCTTAACCCAAGGTACTATTTCTGGGTTAGCGGCATCTGTAACCTGAAGCGTATGTAACCTGAAGTGTATGTAACCCGAGGTACCACTATATTTGCCTATGGCTTACATCTCATCCTCATGGGTCAAACCTGACATAGATGGTACCGTCATTTCTTCTTCCATATTTGAGTGCAAGAACACATGCAACTCAAGGAAAGATGTTACAGAGAAGCCACTCCGGCAGATATAAAATGCCAGGTAAAAATAATAGTTTTACAAAATCATTTTAAGGGGCTCCTGTGATCAGTTATTGACAAGTGGCTTTGATGTAGATGAAAATCCCTGAAGCTCTAGGACAGGCTTCCTCAATCTCGGCCCTCCAGATGTTTTTGGCCTACAACTCCCATGATCCCTAGCTAGCAGGATCAGTGGTCAGGGATGCTGGGAATTGAATGAGGAAGCCTGTTCTAGGAGAAGCATCTCCCATGGACAACTGACTTGCATGTAGAACTAATGATCCTGTGCAAACTAGCTTTTACACAGCAGAACAAATGGGGGAAACATTACCTGCCTACTAAATCTGTCCAAACGCCTTACAGCTTTTAATGGCGACAGAAAATGTGTGTGTGATTAGGAACTCTATTATTTCCCCCCAGGTAGAGGAATCATGAATAAAGTCAGCAACCGGTCTCAGAAAAACTTACCAGCTGCAAGCAGACTCCTTCTGCCTTAAGAAGATGATCAAAAGTGACTAAGAGCAAACACCCACGTCTATCTCCAGCCTCACAGCAAGTCTTGCCATTTTCTTAACCAAGCCACAGATATGAATACGTCTAAATCTTCAAAGCACTTTTCATTGACTGATTAATCCTAACTACATCCCTCAGTGATGGAAACTAGTATTACTGTCTCCATTTAGCTGATGGCTTAGATGGCTTTGCTTAAGACGGGATGGAGATAGAGATTTAGGGGGAAGAGGGGGGATTGAACTTGGCATTTTACAGAGTTCCTACTTTTCCTTAAAGACAACTTTCAGTAGGTCCCAAATTGTAAGGGTGTTTAGCTCTCATTCCCCAAAATGCTCTTTAAATCAGGCTTCCTCAACCTCGGCCCTCCAGATGTTTTTGGCCTACAACTCCCATGATCCCTAACTAGCAGGACCAGTGGTCAGGGATGATGGGAATTGTAGTCTCAAAACATCTGGAGGGCTGAGTTTGAGGAAGCCTGCTTTAAATACTTGCTTTTGTATCGAAACACCCATATCCATAGCACCAAACTGGAAATTCCAAGACGTATCGTAAAATGTAAAGTTCAAAAATACCAAAGCAAAACGCACACATTAAGATCCACACTTTAATCATAAGCAACACATTAAAATGCCCATTGCAGACTCATCACAGCACCAGGTCAAATAAAACCACAAACAAAGCAGCCATCATTGACAGTTAACATGTGTGGTTTAATGCCTGTGCAAATCACAGAATGGAGAGGCCTCAACATGGCACTTTAGGGAGGGCACTCCATACTTCGGACACTGCAATTGAAAACTCCAACCTCTGTGTCCACCCATCATATTTCCACTGGCAGCAGAACACTGAGTAGGGTCTCTGCAGTTTATCTTAACATACAGAAAGAACATAATGCAGGGCTGCAAAATCTTGGGGCTCCAGGCCAGTTCTGGCCTGCCAAGAGGTGTAATTTGGCCCCCAATGGCCCCCAATCCTGGGTAATGGCCCCCAATCCTGGGTAATGTCACCAGATGGGTGGAGGGCAGAGCCTAGCCCAGTCCTGCTCCCTGCAGGGGATGCGTTGATGAAACACACACAGGTCAACTTTGACAGGTGGGTAGGACTAGCTACCTATCAATCACCTGACATCATCAATGATGTCAGATGGGTGACTGCCTCACCTGTCTAAGGTGGCCCATGGAGTGGGGAGAGATAAAGATCTGGCCTGATGGGTCAAAAAGGTTCTTCACCCCTGCCATAATGGAAAAGCTTGTTCATCAGATATCCAAGTTTGAGATAGCTTTAGGGATTATCCCCGGAACTTTCAACTGAGCTCGGGAGCAAACAGATACTATGTTTGTTTGTGTGGTCAACTTGTATATCACTTTATATTTCAAGAACTCTCTAAGTGGTTTACAAAACTCAGCCAAAAAAATCAGTGTATATTATATAAAAATATAAATTCCACATTCAGAACTACTACTACTACTAATGTGCACTATTTTAAGAAACACAGTTAAAAATGAACATTGTACATAAAATAACATGAATGAAAACAAAAGTGAATCATATACAAAAGAAAAATTGTCCAGACACAACCACTTAATTACGATAGATAGATTAAAAACCTCACATTTTACGAGAGAGAGAGAGAGAGAGAGAGAGAGAGAGAGAGAGAGAGAGTATTTAATACATAACATCATAAATTCAAAATATGGGCATCATTGCTGAGAAAATGAGAGGCTTTTTTTGCCTTATGGTGAACGAGATGCTGAAAACAGTTGACATAAAAAGATGGAAGCCATGTTTCCATTTCTCTCAATGCTGTAAGTTTTTTGTGGAAATTGCTGTACAATAACATTGTGGGACAGGCCCTGTGGGATGGTAATGAGTGGTTTGGCAAGTAGCGAGCATTTATTTACCTCTTGACCTAGGAGTTGCAACTACACACAAACTCCATCACTTTTGTAAATTGTTTCTGCCCTGCACAGAAATGATTTGCCTGAGGGAACAGCTCAGTAGGACATTATTCTTGTTGAGGTCTCCCTCATACATTGCACATATAAGCACATTGCAGCTGTTCCACTGAATTCAGTCCCACTGAATTCTGAATAACCATGCCTATAATTGGACTGAAATCAAACCTCGGAGTTTTATGACAAGACAGGACAACTGTAAAGAATATCAGTATGCATATAATGTTCTTTACCCTTGTTCTGAGGAAGGAACAGGGAGAAGGTTGCCCAAGAATACCGGTATAGTGTTTTATATTGTGGATTCACAAACTGTTATGCTCATTTTGCCTTCAGTAAATAATTACTGGATTAAACTGATTGTGCCTGGTCTATTATTATTATTTCTGGAACCCTGCATCATGTTTACTCTGATAACTAACATTGAGGTTTGCTCTGGATCGTTATGGAGCAAAACGATGACATTTTATATGTCTGTCTATCTGCTGAGGTATATTTAATTGGTTGTTTCATTTATCACTTGTTTTCCATATAAAAAATTGCAGCATTTCCATTTATGGAAAAGAATAATTGAAAATGTCTTTCAACATTTGAGGAACACCTGTCCTGCGGCTGGGAAGGAGGCAGATCTGACCGCCCAAAAAGCCTTCTGCAGCTGTCTCTGTGGCAGCAGTGGGCAACACATTCCTTGGAGGCTGGATCTGCTGCCCCTCTGGCTTCTGCCACCTGAGGTTGCCGCCTCACCTTGCCTCGTGGGTGAGCTGGTCCTGTGCTGAGGTGAACCTATAACAAGTGTTGATTCATTCTAGTTTTTAAAATTGCTGTGAAACTTTTAATATGTTGTACAGCAGGAGCGGAGAACTGTTTTGGTCCAGTAGGCCAGGTCATTACCTGTCCTCATCCCTAGGACCAGCTGTAACAAGTGGGCAGAACAACCCACCTGCCAATCATCTGGTGCCAATATGACATCAGATGACTGACAGGTGACTTGTTCCACCCACCTTGCACAGTGCTTTCCAAATGCTTGATTGCCAGCCACTTAAGAAACACAGTGCAAGAGGCTGTTGTAGACAAGGTTGTTGTAAGGATTATAACATGATAATGTATGTGAAGCACTTTAAACATTTTAAAATATTCTATAAATGCTTAGTGTTACTATAAGAAGGTATAAGAAACAGGGATAGATTGGTTAAAGGGAAGGAAGTCTGTCCCATCCTTGCATATGAATTCTAGGACAAGGTGCAATCAGAACAAATGAGGCATCAAAACAGCTTCAATATATACCCCTAAATCCTTTAATCTCACTCTGCTGGGATTCATTTAAATCACAAAGAAATCTTTTATCTTCCAAAATACCCACTTTGAGTTTAGCAGGTGCAGAATGCAAGTGTAAAGAAATAAGGTTTCCATGTGTGACATTAAAGTGATCCTGCTTTTATGCCTAATCCCATGAGATGTTGCATCTATGTTTTAAACCGCCAATGTGTCTGTGTAATCATGACACACTCAGTGCTCGTCATGTCACTGACCCAGCTCTATATGGGTAACTCTACTCCACTGCAAGCATCTGTTCATATCAGAAATGGTGGTGCTGTGATAATGGGAACTTCCAGGCAGCTGTCTATCATGGAATGATTGCTCCTCATGAACGCCATTCTTGACACACACCCCCAAGCATCCACACAACATAATTGGTATCAAAATGCCAGCCCATGTTCCTTCTCTATATTATCCAAAGTTGCCCTTGGAAAAGTTTTCAGCACCCTTAACAAACTACAGCTCCCAGAATTCTTTGGGGAAAGCCAAATAATCTGTTTAAAGTGGCATCATAGCATGGTAGGGTGTGAATGTGGCCTGAAACTATCTTATAGGCTCATTATGACGATTGTGATGAGACCACGCATGTGAAGCATTTTGAATACCCTGAAATATTCTTGTTATTATTGCCATTTTTGTGCTGACACACAGTAACGTTGTGCGGTGCCATGTGGCTGTAGCTTTGAATGGCCTCTAGTGTTTGCTAGTTTGGATTGTTTGGCTTAAAAAGCAGACACCCCCCCCCCACATACACACATGCAAATGAATTGAGAAAATAAGCAGCTGTTCTGGCATAGTAAAACAACATGACCTAGAACCCCACAGAGGCCTTCTCTCCACAGAACCAAATGTGAAATATCCTTCAACATACATACACGATGCCAGATAAATGTTTCTGCCATGTTGTGACCACCATACCACATATGCACACACACCCCGCTCCACAAAAGTGCGCTTTATTTCTTTTATATTCTCTTGAAATCCCCAGGTCCCTTCAGAGTTATTAACAAGGTCACAAGGCTGCTCCCAACCCAGCAGTTTACCTAATTGCCTTTTTATAGTGTTTCATGCAAGTCTTCATTATTCTGTCAGAATTCTGCTCCAAGGCTCAGTGAAAGGAGAAGGCGGGAGAGATTAGACGGAATGGATTCCCCACTAAGTACACACACATGCAGGATAAAGAAAAGGATGGATGGGAGAAAGAGAGAAGCCTTAATCTGGGAATGTTCCCTTTCTTAACTACCAACAGGAGATGTCCTTTAGCTAACCAACCAGAGTAATCACTATCTATATATTTTTTATTTAAAAGAGAGAGAGAGCTATATGTACTGAACACAAAGCTGTGGGTTGTCGATTTCTTTTTCTTCTTCTTTTTAGTTCAAAAGAGGTTGACTTAATGATATCTTTAATCCCTGGCCATTGGTCCTCCTAGGTAGGGATGATGGGAGATGGAGCTCAAAATGGAGAGACAGAGTGGTGTAGATATTAGAGTGTGGCACTAGGACCTGGAAGAACAGGGTTCAAATCCCAACTCAGCTCTGATGCTTACGAGGTGACCTTGGGCCACTCACAGTCTCTCAACCTAAGCTGCCTCGCAGGATTGTTGTGATGAAGGCAGCAGGGATAAACAAGGGACACTGCTCTCAACTCCTTGGGGAAAGAATAGGATAAAAGTGCAGATGCTGGTAAGCCATGTATACATTGCATGTACCCGTATTGCATCCCACAACTTATGAGAAGAATACGTTCCAGTTTTTCTCCTAACATGTACACAGAGTAAAAGTGGTATGTAATATTCCTCTAAGACATTAAAGGGGATACTATGAATACTTATAGGGACGCGGGCGGCGCTGTGGGTTAAACCACAGAGCCTAGGACTTGCTGATCAGAAGGTCAGCGGTTCGAATCCCTGCGATGGGGTGAGCTCCCATTGCTCGGTCCCTGCTCCTGCCAACCTAGCAGTTCGAAAGCACGTCAAAGCGCAAGTAGATAAATAGGTACCACTCCGGCGGGAAAGTAAATGGCGTTTGCGTGCGCTGCTCTGGTTCGCCAGAAGTGGCTTAGTCATGCTGGCCACATGACCCGGAAGCTGTACTGTTGGAGGGGGATTTCCAGCCGGTGGCAGAGGAC